TGTGTATCAGGTAAGCTGAGATAGACATATGGGATCCTTTAATCTATTGATTGTATTTGATGGTAAATATTTATCACTTTTTATTCATAGCAGTATAATGAACTATTATTACTAATTTATTTGACTGGATAAAATCAATTTACATGTCATTAATTATTTACAGGTCTTTCCAGGGCAGACAGTGTCAACCAAGCAACAACTACCTATGTGACTTTTGATGGGGATGAAATAACATTGAACTGTACGTATGAGACAGCTGATAGCAACCCATATCTCCACTGGTACATTCAACAACCAGGAGAGAGACCTCGGTTTATATTACTGAGAGATCGTTACAGCAAGGTAGAGACTGAACCTGGTACACGGTATGCATCCAAACTGGATAGAGAGACCACATTCATCTACCTGAAGATTTCGGATGTCACAGTGTCTGACTCTGGGCTGTATTATTGTGCTCTGAGGCCCACAGTGTCTGTGTCTGCAGACTGCACTGTACAAGAAGCTCTGACTCTGTCTAAGGTGCTGATACATGTCTCGGCTTTGAACTGAGTTGTTAATAGGCTTTATAATTCAAGAAGCTATTCACAATTGCAAATGCAAATGAAGGAAACAATTTTTATATGACAGAAGGAGCTCCTGTCACTCTGACACATTGTTACGGTTAATGTATAGTGCGCATGTAAGACTATTCATGAAAATAAATACATTTAAGTAAAATAATAAAGCTTTTTCTTTAGTGTGCTGAACTGAAATGATTGGTTACTAATTATCATGGAGTAAAACTGAAAGATGAATTGTAAAGTCCATAAATCTCAACATGGAGACATGTTCTGAAATTTCTGTGGGTCTTTATATGTCAAAAAAAAAATAGGAAAAAATTGAGTCCTGAGCAACCTATATCAGAGTGCACACCCAGATGCTACCACATTTTATTGTAAGGACACAATACAAAAACACAAATATTTCAGGCAATAGCCCTTTATCAATGCTGATGTCCTTAAGTACACAGTGTGACACATACAGTATTTATACAGAAAGTGCTCACATTATACAAGGTGCCGCCACCCCCCAGCAGTCAAACTGCGATCAGGATCAGCTGTGTAGAAAATCTCTGCATCCCTCCACCATCTCCGCATCTCCAGTAATTTCCTGGATTGTTAGACACATGCGTTGGGAAGTTGTTGTACTTGACATCATCACGCTAAGTTGCTAAGAAATGAGTAAACAAGCATTTGTTCAAATAGATCAAGTCAAAATAACCATTGGACTCATCCAATCTAAACGGTACAATGCTAATCGGTCTGCAGAGAACATTTATCTAAACATCACTATTTGGTATAAAACTGTTGATACTTATTTATATACAAACATGCAATATTTAAAGGGAGAGAGAAGAGGCAAAGAGAGAATAAGGAAAGAGAGAGACAACAGAGCTGGCAAAAAAACTCCCAAACCCCCAATTAACAAGTGCAAAAAGTACAAATAACTAACTAAGCCTAAAAGAACACCCTCACAAAAAGGGATGGTATACAGCATGCCATAAATATGGAGAAAAATAAGAGGAAACAGACTGGCAAGTAGAAGAAGAGAACCATACAGGATGAAATACATACCCAAATACAGGAAACATCCCAAGGAGGGCACCACAAGATCACAGATGTGTAATATAATTATTTACAGTTCAGTGTAAAAGTAACAAGATCTCTGTAAATTCACAGCTCCTTTCCCCCTTTCTAGTGATTGAATAGCAATGGTTGCCCAGTTGCTAGCTTTAAACATTTAGCAGACATGCCTCTACTTGCCGCATGGCAGGTGGGGGCATATGGAGGTACAACACCTCCATTATAGTAATATGGATTTCCTATTGACCACCAAAGGAATTTTATTTATTGTATTTATTTATTTTTTACTTTTTTACTGTGGCAGTTGGCTAGTAGTGATGTCCCGAACGGTTCGCCGCGGACGGCGAACATATGCGGTAAACTTTGACCCTGTACCTCACAGTCAGCAGACACATTCCAGCCAATCAGCAGCAGACCCTCCCTCCCAGACTCTCCCACCTCCTGGACAGCTCACTAAGAATGCAGCTTTGAATGTAATGTACATGGAGGGTCTGGGAGGGAGGGTCTGCTGCTGATTGGCTGGAATGTGTCTGCTGACTGTGAGGTACAGGGTCAAAGTTTACTGCATATGTTCGCTGTCTGTGGCGAACCATTCGGCGAACCTTTTGGGACATCACTACTGGCTAGCAGGAACTGGAGAGCCACCATTTAACCATCGTGCTACTAAGGGTTTTATAACTATTTGCCCATTGACTGTTAGTGGTACCAGCGAGCAAATACTTCTTCAAATTAGCAATTCAGTTGCAAGAGCACATTAATGATATTTGTGAATTTGCAAATTTGGTTTATCTTCAGCCACCATGTAATTGTTTGTTAATCTCTAATTCTTGTGGTTTATGTTGATTTGGATGGGGATATTACTGATTTTCTTCCAAACAAATGTTACAGAATTAGTCAAACCAACCAAATCCTGAACTCATATGGCTTTAGTAAATATGTGAGTTGCCAATGTGTTCAGAATTCTGTCCATTTCTCAGAATGGACAAAATCTGGTATTTAGTTTAAAAAAACCCTGTTAGTCATTTATACCATATAAACCTTTAGTAGTCATACATATATGCACAGATAGATAAACCTTTCTTCAAAATTAATTTATATCTTAAACAGTCACACATTATGTCTTAAAGAGACAGTAGCATATACAAAAAGTAAAGCATAACATAATAATGTGACTTTAAAAGCCATTTGTGTACATAATACCTCAATAAACGGTCACTGATAATAACTATCTTTGCTTTTTGATTTTGGGCTCATTTTCACTACCTTATGTATGTCCCCATATCATCAATGTCTGGAGACACACTGTGCAGCACCAGGAAGCACGTCTAGTAGCCATCCAGTAGTGGCCAGTGAAGTTATCCCTATGCTGTAATGTAAACACCTTTTCTCTAAAAGACAGTGTTTACTGCAAAAAGCCTGAAGGGAATGATTCTACTTACCAGAACAAATGCAATAAGCTGTAGATGTTCTGGTGACTATAGTGTTCTATTAAGGTCAAAATAGCCAAATTGGAAAAAAAAAATCAATCATATTTAATAATATTTAATATAATATATATGATTTATTTATTTTTTTAGGTTTTGCTATCAGTTCAGCTTCCTCTTCTACTACCCTTGAATTTGAAATTCACCTTGAATGCTCAAGATACTACCCTGTTAGTATCTTAACATCTAAAATAAGTTTAGCTAGTAAAGTACCACTAATTAATTAGTTTAATTTGTCATTGCCCCGTGTTTTTTATGTCCATATTGCAATGACCATGGAAGTTTTTTTACTTTAACCACTTATAAACCACATTACAGTCTATGCCATCATGCAGTGTAGTTCTTTAATGCCCAGTGATGGCATAGACTGGCATGCAGTAAAGGTAACAGCAGAGGCAAGCCCTTTAAACACTGCATCTTAGTGATCTTGCGCAGTCACTTTATTTCAATCACCCCTCACAGAGTGCTGCCTTCAAAAATATAGGATCCCCAAGTATCTTTTGATAACTGGGGTTCCTCTCTTTCAATTGGAGTCACAATTAGTGGTCCCTGAATGATAGAAGCGCTCAAAGTGCAGCCTATAGCTCTTTAAATAGTAATTGAAAGAGTGGTAATTTCAAATGTGCCAAAATATATTTAGTTTCCTCACAGCCTTGCACTGCCCCCCTACTATGAGGAAGACTCCAAGGTCTTTAAAGATCCCAGGGAGACTTCCTCGCATGCTCCCTAGCCTAGCCTGCAGCACGAGAGGGAGCTCACCCAGCACAAAGGGTTCACAGAACATGAATCAGCAAAATAAATCTCCCAGAGGTGGGAATAGGGTTGGGATTAGGAGATGGAATCAGGGGATGGGATAAGGGGTGGGGTTGGGTGGTGAGATTACAGGGTGCGATTAATACTTAGATTATAGGTAGGATTTGGGGTTAGATTATTGGTTGGATTATAGCTATGATTAGGGGGTGGATTATGGGTAAATTCAGAGACAATATTAGAGGTAGTATTAGGGGAAGGATTAGGGTAAAAGATTGACATGTGGGATATAATTGTATCCAAGATCAGTAATAGAATACAAATATGGGGTGTTTGCAGTAGTGGAACATGTGTATTCTGTGAAATTCCCCAGAATAATGTGGAAAACGCACAAAAAAATTAACAAATGGTTAAATGAAAAATCTCAAAATGCTCTTAGTTACATAGCCTAGGCATGTACTTTCTGTAAATATATACTTTTGTGTAGTGGTTATGGATTCTGTGACTACTATAAAAGTTATAATCACAGCATGACACATTTTGCAAAGTTTAAGCTATAAACCCACAATTCCCTTCTTGCAGTATTTGTTTTATAACTTCTGAAACTTGATTTTAATCGTAGACATATTGGGCATTTTAACAATCAGAACTAATTAGAAAATCTATCTTGAGTCAGTTTATTTTAGTTGCACTCATATATAAAAATTATTAAATGAAAAACTGGAAAAATAATTCCCCCTATTTATTATGTATGCATTTGGGATTTCAAAAGAAAGCATTTTTCACCTTTCAAAATGATATCTAGCATGTATGAGTGCAATTATTCATGACATCTCAAAAAAGCCTCGGACCTTAAGAAGCTAATGCAGTTTCAATTTGTTTTTCCTGTCAGATAATGTTATTAATTTGTGAAATAACCTAAACTATGCTAAATAACTTCCATTTAGCACTTTTCTTTTGAATGAGTAAATTCAAGATTTAAAATAAAGTTATCTACATTGACATAGTGTAACTTCTGTATGTTGCTTTTTGTTTGTGTATGAACAAAGCTCCTCCTACTTCCTGAACAGTGTTTCCTATAGCATTATCTGTGCCATACAGGTTTGTCACCTTCAAACTTATTAATCTACTTCTGCTGTTACAAGCACAGACTACACACACATGCAAGATGAACCTGTGGCTTAGCTCAGTTATTTACATCTGCTTATCAGGTAATAAAGAAAGAAAACTGTACAAAAAAATGTTGTCTGTGAGGTAAACAGTGATCTGTAATTTGATATTTTTATAAAAATGCTTGAATTTGAATTGCATTGTTTTAGGAAAAGATGAGTTTGACATTTTATTTATTATTTTATATTTCTTCCAGGGCTATCTATGGCAGATGAGGTCATACAAGCAGTCTCTGAGGAAACAGTCCTAAGTGGGGCAGATATTACATTAAATTGCTCTTACAAAACTACAGACACCGATCCATATCTTTTCTGGTATGTGCAAAAATATGGAAAGTCCCCTCAATCAATTATAAGGAGAGCATCATTTATGAATGATGAGAGTGAACCGTTCACAAACTATAAATCTAGACTGGACAAAGAGACCACCTCCATCTACCTGAAGATTTCTGATGTCACAGTGTCTGACTCTGGGGTGTATTATTGTGCTCTGAGCCCCACAGTGTCTGTTACTGCAGACTGCACTGTACAAGAAGCTCTGACTCTGTCCCAAGTGCTAACAGATCTGTCAACTAATGTACACACACATAAGCAAAACATAATTTTGGAAGCCAACTTTCTGTTGGAACTCAACTACCAGATCAACATTTCTTTCCAAATGCTATTTTGTGGTTTAGGTCAAAAGTTCTCATGTATGTCCCAATGGGAAAATGAGGAAGAGGCCACGTTGACCGAGAAAGAATGGATTAGTGCTATAAATGCTCTAAAAGGAGTGACCCAGACCATATAGAACCCCTAGAAAACATATTTTTAGGTGGTATCTTTTTTCAGAGATGATACATAAAATGTATCTGGAGTAATTAATTTCACTACTTCCTAGCCTTAATTCGATTGATTTTTAAAGAGAAAATAAAAATGAAATTGTGTGGTTCATTCCTACTTATGGTTTAGGAAATCTTTCTATCTATCTATCTATCTATCTATCTATCTATCCCATTTAAAACAAATACAGCCCCCTTCATTTTCACTTTTTTCACCTTATGCTACAATTATTTTTTTCACTGCAATCTACATTCCCAATCTACCCCAAAATCACATAACAAAAAGACAAACAGATTTTTTACACTATTGCAAATACATTTAATAGAAATTACTGGAATATTATACGCACACACACACACACATACAATTTATGGGATGATTATCAGTGTCACTGAGCCTTTTATGTTGCATTTTCTAAAATCTGTCAGGTTTTTCTTCATCTTTCCAGCGCAAAGTATTTTGTTTTACTTCTCTTTTTTACCACCACTTTAAAGTCTTTTAAAATGGAAATTTTGGACAAAGTTTACTATGAAGAAAAAGGTCCTTTTTAATATTATTTTAAGAACACTTTAATAAATACTGTATAATGTAAATAATGAGGAAATGTATTTGGCACCTTTAACCCCTTAAGGACGGAGCCAAATGTACACGTTGTTAACAAAACAAAATGTAAACAAAACCTGGCATTTGCGCTACATGTCTGTCCAACCGTAATTCACCTCTTTCATAGTAAATGCACCCACCCTTATTATATATCATTTTATTCAGGGGAAACAGGGCTTTCATTTAATATCAAATATTTAGCTATGAAACATAATTTAATATGAAAACAATGGGAGAAAATATGATTTTTTTTATTTTTTTAGTTCTACATGACATTTTAACGGTCAGTGTCATAGTACTGTTTGCTTTTACTGCAATAAAATACACATATTTGTATTCAGTAAAGTCTCACGTGTAAGACAGTACCCCCTATGTACAGGTTTTATGGCGTTTTGGGAAGTTACAGGGTCAAATATAGCACGTTACATTTGAAATTGAAATTCGCCAGATTGGTTACGTTGCCTTTGAGACTGTATAGTAGCCCGGGAATGAAATTTACACCCATAATGGCATACCATTTGCAATAGTAGACAACCCAAGGTATTGCAAATGGGGTATGTCCAGTCTTTTTTAGTAGCCATTTGGTCACAAACACTGGCCAAAGTTAGCGTTAGTATTTGTTTGTGTGTGAAAAATGCAAAAAATGCCAATTTTGGCCAGTGTTTGTGACTAAGTGGCTACTAAAAAAGACTGGACATACCCTGTTTGCAATACCTTGGGTTGTCTACTATTGCAAATGGTATGCCATCATAGGGGTAATTTTCATTCTTGGGCTACCATAGGGTCTCAAAGGCAACGTAACCAATCTGGCGAATTTTAATGTGAAAAAAATGAAACACAAGCCTTATATTTGACGCTGTAACTTTTGAAAACACCATAAAACCTGTACATGAGGGGTACTGTTGTACTCGGGAGACTTCGCTGAACACAAATATTTGTGTTTCAAAACAGTAAAAAGTATCACAGCAATAATATTGTCCGTGTAATGCTGTTTGTGCGTGAAAAATGCAAAAAACGTCACTTTTACTGGCGATATCATCGTTGTAATACATTTTACTGTTTTGAAACACTAATATTTGTGTTCAGCGAAGTCTCCCGAGTAGAACAGTACCCCCCATGTACAGGTTTTATGGTGTCTCGGAAAGTTATAGGGTTAAATATAGTGCTAGCAAATTAAATTCCCTTTACTTTCGGCATGGGTTGTCAGGCAGGTCCTGCTAATTGTAATTAATTAAGATACCTAATTATGTAAAAATATTACATAAATATATATGTAGAATTAATATATGTATATATATCGTATGTATATATATGTATATATCTATATAATTTTTAAAATATTTTTATTTATATATAGGTATATATATAGTGATATATACGTATATATTTATGTATATAGATATATATATATTATTTCGTTCTACGTGTATTTTGATATATATATATATATATATTAATTTCACAATACAGTTAGAACGAAATAACACACATCTATATATTTTTTAATTATTTTTGTTTAATTATTTTTTTAATTTTATTTTTGAACGTATTTACATTTTAATTTTTTTTATAATATATATAAATATATATATAACAATAATTATATATATATTTAATCAGTATCAGTCTACGTGTAATTTGATATTAATATATATATATAATTATATATATATTAATAGTAAAATACACCTAGACGATGTACATGTGTGTATGTATATGTGTATATATATATACTTAGATCATATATATATATATATATGATCTAAGTATATATAATTTTTTTTTTTTACACCATTAACTTATTTTTATTTTATTTTCAGCCAGCAGGGGGACCAACTGTAATTACAGGCAGCCCCCCTGCTGGCAATACAGAAGCCAGCTATACCCGGCCATGTGATTGTGGGGTCCTCGCTAGGGTAAGTACAGTACAGTACCGGGTAAGTACAGAAAGACCGGAGGGCGTACTATTACGCCCGGCGGCGTTTAGAGCCGCCTATTAGAGGGCGTAATAGTACGCCCTCCGGTCTAAAGGGGTTAAGACACTTTAATAAATATCACTTTTGTTTCTATAATAATAATAAAAATTAAAAAAAAAGATTTATCTGACTGGGTTTTATACAAGCATTCACACATGAAGGGGATCCATTTTTTGTCGGATCTTTTGATGGATTGCACAGTGAAATTAGATTTAAAAATGCGTAGTTGACCATTCCAAGTTAGAATTTTTGAAATTCCACCAATTTATGTGTAAAAGAAATAAAATATTGTGTGTTTTTTCAGCTTTGCTTCTGCCTGTCACGATCTCCATCATGACATGTGTAATGCCAGCTGCATTTATCTTCCTGGTGGCTTTGGTGAGATTTGAACCCTGGACTCTGGCTTCTTCAATCCTGCACTTTTGCCACTGAGCTATCCAGCCATTCATTGCATCACCTTAATAGGTGTCCTTGCCTTGTTTCAAGCACTGGGAGCTGAACTTACCTGTGGCTGCTCTAGCACACCTGTAACCCATATTGATTGGCTGGATATAAAAGGGTGTCAGTTCATTGACTCTGGGAAGGGTGTCTGGGAAGGGTGTCAGGGAAGGGTGTCAGTTCATTGACTCTGGTTCCCTTGTTTGGTTCCTGTCACTCCGTATCAGCGTTCCAGTATTTCCTTTCTGATTCCGGCTTCTGACCTTGGCTTTCCTCCTGGACTACTCTGATCTTTGGCTTTCCTTGACAATGCTTCTGCTAATCCCTGCTGTACTGCTATTTGGAGCACTATTCTTGGAAAGCCCCCGTGCACAGGTCAGGTGGCATCTTACCTGGTCACCCTGGTCTGTGTCTACTTTGCAAGGGTGAGCGTATAACTCTGCAAGCTGGACTCCCCATCAGGTAAGACTCCTGACACTGCCCCCTGGTGTTTCACAAACATTATGAAATCCATTATACCTAGTCTAAGAATCATGGGGAGAGTTATTCTTATAATGTCTGAAATTCTTGAATACAATTTTACTTCATGTTTACTGGACATTCAATCTTCTGACAAGATTAGGTCTTCTGATAAATTCAGAAAAAATCAATATTAAAACCATCATAAGACAACTGTTTGAAATTCACATGTTTTATTATAAATTCAGGGAACTCTTATCTGTGTTTACCAAAGATAAAATAAAAAATTATAAGTAAATAAAGAATATGCTAAAGAAGAAAGTGGTTTGTCAGCCAAATTAGTGGTTCTTTTGAGCTTCATGCACAACTGGGGAACCCAAATGTCAAATGTGTCCTCCTGCAGATGGAACTGGGAGGAAGGTGAGATCAGGACAGGTGTGGATTATTTGAGTGACATGAAAGAACAGACTTCTCAGGTATGACAGCTATTAGAAAATTCATTTATAGCACTCCACTAAGTTGTAAATGCTCTCTTGGATATTATGTGTACAGTGTGAGTAAAATGTCCTTGTAAAAAATTACATATGCAATTTATATATTTAAATCTTTCTATGTAAACAATCATTCATAATCTGAATTGAAAAATAACACAACCAATATTCTTGACTGCTTAGTGTCGGTTTCGTATTGACCCTTCAATAATGGTCACTATGGCTCTCTAAGGTGTGATTGATGTTCCTACGAACATCTTGCCTCTGATCATTCATTACTTATCATGATTATACAGTATTAGGAGAACAAATATGTCATTTGCAAGATATTATTATTATTATTAGAAACTGTTTTAGATTAACTATTCTAGCTGATAACTTGACTATCACTAAATTAATCCAGTGTCTGAAGACCCAAAAGGCACTGTAAAAATATTGTATAAATGAAACAATGACCCTCATAAATATAGAAAATATGTGTATTAAATTAATGTTACAAAAAGCAAAATTATAAGAAACCAATCTTACCAACAGAATTTGAAATGAATGAATATTATATAAAGAAAAATAACAAATAAATTAACAGAAATCATGTAAAGGATGGTAGCAGTATGTGTCTGTATGATGCTTGAGTGTGGGTGTGAACAAAATTTATTGAAAAGAATGGCACCGTTCAGCTATTGCTCTGTTATTTGTATACCTTTT